CTTTGGATTCCCCCCCCCCCCCCCCCTTCTTTTTTAATCACTGACTTTGTTTGCAGCCAGGAGGGGAAGGGAGAGAAATGCTGCAATAAAAGCTACCAGGCGTGAAGTTGTAACCCAGCTTGCTCAGGGTGACCTCCCTGCCAAGACTGCCTTACAAAGAGGGGGAGTGCAGGCAAAGCAGCAGAGGCACAGGGGGATGCAAATGGGCACAAGGAGGCACTCCTGCTGCAAAGTGACATTGCCACCGTGCTGGCGGGGACACTGCTGTGGCAGGCAGTGGCACTAATTGCCTTCCTACCCAGCTTGCTCCATCCCTCTCCTTGCCCATCACGGATAGGATATATACATTAGCTCATACTTTCAGGCTATTTCAGGTTGCTCCAGGGCAGGAATTTCCAGAGACAGCATGTAAGATTCACCTCTCTGATGAGAAAATGTTGCTTTGCCCTGGGAGACAAGCCTGATCCCACCCTGGCAGCCACTTCCAATATGGACGAGGGAGGTCAGTCCAGGGGACAATGCCATCCTTGCACCAACAAACCCAACACTGAGTATTTGGCAATGCCCACAAACTTTTCAATCTTGTCCCGTTTTTGGTTGTTTTTTGCCCCAGCTCCTAAAACCCTGTGATGGTGGGAGCACTTCTGCTTGCACTTCCAGAGAAGGACGCTTCCAGCCTTTGCAAATGCTCACGAACATGGCCTTAATGCTTCCAACGCAGAAGAGGAAGAGAGAACTCAACCACATTATTAGCTTTAAATATCTCATGACCTTTTACTGCAAATCTCAAGATCTGAGGTGCAGCCCGCCTCATGGTTCGTTAACATTTCATGTTGTCAGCGCGGCCAATGGGTTCAATTAGGCTTCAGGACGGCATCTGCAAATTGCTGGCAACCCACAGTAGGAAATCCTCCCTCGGTCTGGCCACCAGCTCTGACGCTGCACAAGAAATACCTTCTTGAGCCCTGCCACATTCCTGGGACGTGCATCGAGCTGGCAAGCGCTCAGCGCACGTGATCTCCCTCCAAAAACTGCGAGAAGGGGGGATGCAGCTCCGGAAAATGCCATGGGAAGGGAGCGAATTGGGCGCAAGGGCTGCCCATGGCTCCCCAGAGGTGCTCGGGATGGTGCCTGGCCACCCGGCTGCGCTCAGGGGTGAGCGTGCAGATGTGCTCGCAGGGAGATCGCATGTGCGAGCGCCGCGATCGCTGCTGCTGCTGCGAGTTAACTGAAGGAGCCTGTAAAACCAGAAACAGGCTATTAGCAATCCATTAGGAAAGGGTATCCAGTTCCAGCCTAGGTAAGCCATTAGAGGAACATCTGAGAGCATTAGGAGAGCTCGCTTGGGGCCAGGATGGGGCTATAAAACAGAAGAGGAAACCACGCTAATCTGGCTTGAATTACAAACTTAAAAGCGGGAGAAAAATAAAGGATACCCTAAACATTTAATGTTTTATATTTAGGAGACAGAAGGGGAGATTTTGCCAAAAGGAGAGAATAAAAAACCTGTTTAGACTACAAATATCCATCTCTCTTCTGGCAGCTGAGAAACCACTAGCCCCTCTTCCAGAAAGGGTGGAGTGTGATTTTAAAGTTGCTTGAGTTTCAGAGTGAGCTCAGTGCTGATGGGGTGGAGGGGGCTCTTTGGCCACATGATGTGGCATGATGTGACATGGCTGCATCCCCAGCAGCTACGAAATGCTTGTGCCCAGGTTCAAGGGAGCTGCTGTGCAATCTGGCACATGTTTCACTGCATGCCCATGTGAGAACTCATCATCATCATGCCTCCGTGATAGTAATTCCCAGAGCACATCACCGTAATTCCCAGAGCAAACTGCAACATGAGAGCCGCTAAGTGGAAAGGTGCTGCTGAGCAGGGGAAAGGGACTGCAAATGGCACACTGGGGCTCAAACCCAATTTGCAAAGTGCTGGGCAGGGGACAAGGGTGTTCTCCCCACCGCTGGGTTAGCCCCAGAGATTGCTTCATGGCGTGGGGTGCTTGGGCCAGGCACCTCTGGACTTTATCTGGAGCAGGGGAAACTGCATTTCTGGCCAGCTCACACTGTGGCAGCCTCGATAAGATCCACTGCTCCCGCCACGGATGGCTTCATCTTCTGGTGCCAAGCCCTGGCATTATTAAAATCCTGAAAGGAAGAGCCTGGAAGAAAGCAGACGCTGATTGAATCAGGCCCTATGGTATTCGACAGCTCGACATCCATCTGATCCTATTAGTGCTCATTGGGTCCTGCCTGCCGAGGTGCTGTGCATAAATCAGACCCTGCAAAGATAATGGGAGGTGGAGAGGTGAAAGAGGAGCTGCTTCTTCTGCCAAGAAACACCACGTGTGAGCAGGGCCTGCATGGATACTCTGTCTCTGGGCAGCCTTGGATGCTCCTTTGTGGGAGCATCCTTCCCACAGTGCTGCCAAGTACATGCTTAAAACCCACAGCAGAGGTGGGTTGCCATGAGGAGGCAGGGGCAGGGTTCAGCCTGTGGACCCTGGGCAACAGGGACGTGCCAGAACATGAGGTTACCCAACTTCTCCTGACTGCTGGCAGGGACATCTGCTCTCCCTGCTGAGCTCCAAGCTGCCCCATTGTCAGCGTGCAGGTTGTTTGGGCATAAAAAGCAAGGACTTCTCTGTGCCAGCTGCCAGTAGGGACAGCAAGAGCCAAGGTGGGGAGCAGCTTGTGGCAAGAGACCTGCACCTCCACAAGAATTAAGACACCTCCATGCAAGCATCACATGTGTGACCACCTCATCCTTTCTCAGGGCACACATCCCTTTGAGCTGAGACCCAACACCAGCACTGCAGGGCAGGAGGGACAGAGGAGCTAGACTTGGAGCTATCAAACTGAGTCCTTCCCTCTTCTGTCTCGATTTGGGGGAGCAGGGACACACTCCAAAATAATAAGAAGGCAAACAAAGAGTGTAGGGAGGCTTGGGCATGCTCTCAGCATGATGACATTGATGGGGTTAATTTTAGGTACAAACACCTGCATTTGCAGGGTGCTCAGCTGGGCTAAGCAGGTTGAATGTACCAGTGGGGTCTGGGGTCAGGGCAGCTCCAGCTGCTGCAGCGCTGCCTTTCTCTGGTGTTTGGGAAACGATTGAATTAGGCTTTGCAAATAATTCATCTGATGAATAGTGGCAGTTTTCCTCAAATCATCCACAAATCAGATTTTTCATTAACCAGCCAGCAGGGTAGGGAGTCGGAAAACAAGGCTGGCACCTCACTCACTGAATGCTTGTACTTGCTCACTGAGCAAATTATTTCCCAAACACTCTTCTCCATCAGTCAGTGATGAGGAACATGTCTTTTGCAAGGGGATATTGATTAAAAGCTGTACCCAGGACTGCTGCACCTTCCCAAAATGCTGCCGTCCTTGTACCCACCAGGAGAGCTGGTACCTTGAGGTCTCTCTGCACCTCAGGGTATTTTTACATAGAAGAAGTTACATTTTTACTGCCCAAAAACTGCCTTTACCAACTAGGATGGCCCTGCCACCAGTGTCACCAACACCTCCATGTATTTCCCACCATCACTGCCTGCCTGAGGGCACTGATGGAGAGGCCACAGCATCCCCTCAGGGCTCTGCCAGAGGCGACTGGCATGGCTTGACTCTGCAGTTATGGTACCCCACACCCAGTGATGGAGGGACCAGCCACTCCAAGGGTGTTCAGGTAGGAGGTAGCTCAGTGGCTACCCCACCATTTTGGGTGCAAACCAGGATATTTGGCTGTGGCAGGGTAAAACCATCAGCTTTTTCCACAACAGTTGCACACCTTGTGAAAAAAACAGTGTTGTGTTTGGCAGTTCCCACTAAATTTTCCCCTTTTTACACAGATTCTACAGTATGGGCATTCCTTCCCCAGATGAAAAAAAAATAACCTACAAAAAACTAATAGCCAATCTCCACTGATGCTTTCTAACTCCTCTGGATGCTCCACCGATGCTTTCCCACTACTAGGAAAGAAGCAAAGGGCAAAGAGGCAAGCAGGAAAACCCTCTTATTTTCAGAGCCATCAGCAAGCAGGAAAACCCTCTTATTTTCAGAGCCATCAGCAAGTACTGCAATTTGAAACACAACCTATGGTGCTGCCTCATCAAAAAGCCCAAGCAAAAGGAAAAAGTCATCGAGACACCTTGCAGAGCCACCAGCAAAGCCTCCCATCCACTCTTCCAACATTCCTCTCCCAAGGAAGTGCTGGCTGGAAGAAAATCCCACTTGGTTCCTTGATGTAGGTGCCCAGGGACCCAGTGCTGCCTCTTATTTCACTTTTGGTTCTTTTAGCAAAATCCTTTATCAAGCAAAGCACCTTACTGGTTTTCAACTGGCCCAGCTTGGGCACAGAAGGGATGCTGGATGAGCTATGCCAGAGCAGCAGCACCTCCTCTCCAGCCACAGAATGCTTTCTTACCCAACTTGAGTATAAAAGCAGCACACAGAGGTTTAAAAAAAAAAAAAAAAAGAAGAAAATCCCATTTGTTATCTTCCTGCAGTAACAAATGAAATCTGTCCTCCAGGCTACCAAGGATTTCACTGACTATTTTTTTTAAAGAAACAAGAAATAAAAGTAAGAAATACGATAACATCTCAGCAATTGCTCGGTGACTGTGCTCTGAGTTATGGTGAGCGGTATTTTATCTCCAGTTCAAAATCTAAATGTGGCAGAGGCACATTTAAATGTGGTGACATTTATACTTTAAATGCCTTTTACATCTCGTTGGCAAGTTTTATATAGAACATATGCATGGAAAGTAGATAGGGGCCATGGATGAAAATGCGGAGCAGGAAGAGGCTGCAGAGCCATTTGTAGGCAGAGTGTGAGCCACAAAAAAGGTGGAGAGGAAGAGAAAAGCAATGAGAAAGAGAAGGAGAGGAACAGGCTCCAGGTTGCCTGAGCAGTAAATATACATATTTTTTGTCCCTGAGCACTTTTTTGCAATGCAGCTTGTTCCTCTCCCTCGCATCCCAGGCAGTGCAGCGTCACTCACATGTTGCCACTGGTCCAGGATGAGGGGCCGATACCGCAGGAAGAACTTCAGTGGGAAGGACTCAGGGTCAGGCCACGATGAGGGGTTTTGCCATGACACCTCCAGCCTTCGAGGGTTATTGGGCACAGGTTTGGCCACCACACTCTCCGGAGGGTCTGGCTTTACTGTAAGAGAAGAAAAGAGGGGGATTGGCAAAGCTTTGCCTGTGGCTTACTCCCTTTACACCCCTTGGCAAAGCTGACTGGGCTTTGCACCATGTGCTTTCCAAGACGAGCAGCCAACATGCATCCTTTCCCCAAACTAATTAGATGCAAATCACTTTTTGCTGTCCAGGTCAGTCATATGGCTGTCCTGGCTCAAAATACCATCATCAAGGAGGTGACAGCACTGGAGACACATGGAAACAACCGGGCCAGGGCAGAGAGCATCCCTCCTACACAGGGCTAATTGGATAAGGATGAGGAGCCCACCAAGCCAAAACCTTGCACTTTCGTTGCAACTGCTGTGAGTTGTGATTTCTGTGAGTCTGACAAACATTCAAGCCTCACAATAATGTGGCAGAGTTTGGCCCCTGGGCTCAGGGCTGGGGTTTTGAGGATTCAAAACATTGGCACATTGTATTTACTAAAGGGGAAGGATTGCCCTGGTCACCTTCCAACCCAGCTCTCTCTCACTGCCCTGCTCTGCTTTTGGGATATGGGAATATTTTCTTGCTACCTGCCATGTATTTCAGGTGAATATTAATTGGCTGTGAGCTATGCAACGTGCTTTGATGTTGCAGCTACTTCCAGAGTGCCAGAAGCTCATCCCAGACAGGCTGTGATGGATGTCGCTGCCTGTTGCAGAGCAGTCCGTGCTCCTTGCCAAGGGTTTGATCAAATCCTGACAGCTCAAACTCCCAATTGCAACAGCAAAGCTAAAAAAATTTGTGTACGCCCATGCTTATCCTTTAATCATGGTCAGGAAGGAGCTGGACACATGGAGCTAGGCACACAGCTGTGCCAGAGGTGGATGAGGGCTCTCTGTGCACTCCAAAAATAGCAATGCACATGAGTCTTCCTGTCCTGGGAAGGCACTTAAACCCCCTTCCAAGTCCACATGCAGGCAAGTGGATCCCACCTGACCTGAAAATTTCTGGATTGAACAATGGTCCCTGGGCTCTGACCGCCTTGAGCAGAAGCCTGTCAAGATGTCAGCATCAAACTCCCCTCCCCAGGATGGGGGAGGGATGTGGAAGAGGAGCCCCCTTCTGCCTGGCAGAGCTCCTGCAGCTCCTGCCCTGCAGTCAGAGGTCTCCATGCTGACTCCAGGGTGCACCTGCTGTGGGTGGGAAGTGATGCCCCCACAGGGGCTTTGCTTACCCTGAGAGAGGAAGGAGGTGGTGGTGACTGAGCTGCTCCCAAATCACCCGAGCCTGCCTGCAGTGCTGCCCAGTGTGTGAAGGGCATCTTTCCCTCACTCAGATGGGATCAGCTATTGATGCATGGCCAGTCTGGGGCAGGTGCAGTCATATGTGAGCTGCTTACTGCCACCCCTGCTCCAGAATGATGGTGGCATTGCAGCAACTGTCCCAGCACTGCCACCGCTTGCTCCTCTCAGGAGAAACCAGCCTGTGATGCTTTGGGAACACACTTCCTTGTCTGCAGGTAAGGCAGAGAGGGTGCTGAAGTGAAGCCACAGCCCAGCTACCTTAGTGGGACCTGTTTCCCCTGAGACATGGCCCACCACTACCTCTGTCTCCCCAGCCTCCTCTTGCTCGGCACCCTGATGTGTGTGTGCCATCATCACCATCATCTTCACCACCACCCTGGCTTTCACCACCTTCCCTCTGTCACAGCGAGTGCCAGGAGGGCTGGATAGCTTCCTCCTTCCCAATGTAATTTCAGGCTCAGAGGCTGCTCCCAGAGACTCTGGCAATGGCTGGTCAGCTGGTGAGCTTGGCCACAGTGCCCAGTTCCACCTCCCAGCTCCCACAGACTCCTCTCTGTGGCAGGATGGGGTGCAATTTTCCATTTACAGCTTTATCCTCGGCAGCAGGAACGCTTCTCTGGGGCTGTGCTGTGCTGAGCTACTCCAGATGGCTCTGCAATTCCTCTGCTCACTCTGAATCCCAGGGCTGGGGCTGGACATCAGCTTCCATCGACAGGGACTTGGAGTCCAAACACATACGGAAAAGTATAAATCCAGCGTTGGCTCAGCAGGATGGGTTTGCAAAACAAAAGTCTGTTTGGCTGAACGAATGCAGATGACTGTGAACTGCAACTCTGCAGCGAGGAAGTGGGAAGGAAAGTGCTGGGCTAGGGATGGATGCAATGGATACTCCCTGGGGTAATGCAGGGGGCCTGGCCCTGGTTTTTAGTATGCCAGCCTGAAGGCATGATTAAATTCAGTTGGCCATGGCAAATGTGCTTGGGCAGCAAAGAGAAATACTACTGTGACTGTTAAAGGAAGCCAGGAAAAAAAGTGCCCTGAGGCTGAGGTGGGAGTCACCTGCCCATTTTGCAGGGATGTGACCCCTAGCCCCTCTCCTGTGAGTTGGACACTGTTGCTGGTGCACAGAGGAAGGCTGCCCTGGCTCCAGTTTCATGTTCCCAGCTGCTATGAGCTTTCAAACAGCTCTGCAGGTAAACAGGAAAACCAAAAGTCCCTGGTACCTCCTCATGTGTCCCTCCATCCACAGGATTCCTGCCCAGGCCAGAGAGGACAGCAGGGCCAATCCCCCCAAAACTACAAAGCCAAAACTGTTCCTGCCATGTCCTTCCAAGGCAGCAGGGACACAACAGCCAGGAGAGGGGACCTAACTCTGGCAGCCAGTCCAGAGAGGACAAACATATATCTCTTAGGACAGACCTCATCCTGCTGTGGTCATCATCCAGGGAAACACCTGGACTGGTCCCACAGGGGCCAGCTGAGGAGTGAGGGGAGACAGGCTGTGTCCAGCTTTCTGATTTCTATATGACCTTGAAGGAGTCCTTTATACCCTGCAGACAGGGATGAGTGCACCTCCTTCCCCAGCCTTTGTCTGCCTCCATTCAGCCTGCACATGGTGAGGCAGGGGCTGTCTGGCTGTACATCAGCCAGCATAATAGAGCCCTGTCCTCACTGAGGGCCTGCAGGCAGTAACGTAATAAAAGCAGTAATAGTAATAATAATAATGGATGATGGGCATTAGGCTGAGTACTGGTTAAGCGGCTATAAAACCAGATGTAATATTATCCTGCGGAGCTAAGGGAGCATCATCAGAAATTCCTGGGAAGGGGACTTGGCCAGGAGGCTACTCACAGCTCTTCCCTCTTGGTTTTTGGCTGCTGTGTCTAAGGCAGGGCTTGAAGTGCAAGAAGAGCATCAGGGAGCAGCTTCTCCTTAAGGCGCTGCACGCTCATGCCTGTTAACTGTGAGTCTTCAGCTATCCATCGCCCCTGGCTGTTGTCAGACACGTCTCAGAATGAATCTGGTGGTTCAGAAAGGCAGCTGAGACCCTGTGGCATGGAGCAGCCCGTCGCCCATCCCGTCTCTCCAACAAGCACTAAAATGGATCCCTTGCGGCCATTAAATATCCCCTGGCATTTTCCATGAGCAGAGGGATATTAAACTCCATGTCTTAGCCAAATGTCAGTCTAGGTAATTTAATTCTGCCTTCCTAAGTAGTATGAATTGAACTGACCTTCTGCTCAGGCAACTGTATACCTGTGTTCAAACACTCTGAATTTCATACAGACATGGGCATCATGCAGCCTCCCCGAGATGCTCTGCATCTTCATCAGCCCAGAGCTGGAATTGGAAGGATCAGATGACCTTCTCAAGGTTACACAAGGCACGGGCAGCTCATTTGATGAAGGTATCCACACCTGCAAGGCCCCATCCAAGGCTGCCTTCCTCCTTTTAATGCTGTGCATCTTCTCATATTTTTCCCCAGGACTGTATGAGGAGAAAGGTGCTGAGGCAGGATGCTGATATTGCTGCATGGTGGTGCTGTCCTGGCTTTCCTGGGGAATGCAAAAACACCTCTTGGGCTGAAACACAAGTGAGGAAGGTGTGGCTGTATCCTAGTCGGCCAAAAATGTCCCCATGCTGTTCCAGCCATCATGAAGAAGGTGGCAGCTCCTTACACACCACCTCACTCCTCCCCGGCATCTTCCTCTGCCTCCAGGTCCTCTTCCCTATAGTCCCTTTTCCTCCTCTCTGAGGCTGGAGCCTGATGTCCATAGGGCTCTGCAGGACCTCCTCACTCTCACCTTTATTAATATTAATACTTTTGCAGAAGATGTAATTATGAAAACAATTTGCAGGAGCAAGATGATGAAGAAGGCAGTCTGGATCTCCTACCAATAGGAGATGGGGGCCAGAGGGCCGGAAAAGCTTTTCCAGTCATCATTAAAATGACAATGCAGAGTGACCCTTTGCAGCTGGCTGCTAATAACCAGCACGGCATGACTGCCAGCAAGGCATGGGCTCAGGACAGCAAAAGAAAGTACCAGTCATTTTCCACTCAATTAGAGACCATCTTCCCAGCGGCTGGGGGAGGGATTTTCTTCTGGCGACTTCGGGGATGGAGAAGGGAGTGAAGAGGCAAAACCAACGGAGGTCACTCATTCCCAGGGGGTTTTTGTGCTTGCCCAGGATGGATGGGTGGCCTGACCCAGCAGAGGGTCTTCTCCCAGCTCAGATGGTGCTGGGAAGGAGAGCTGCCTGCCCTGCACTGCTCTCTCCTTGGCTTTGGATTTTGCTCTGTCCCCAGCAGGGCATGAGATTCGGGGGGGCTATATGGCTGCACTTTAACCTCCATGAAGATATGATGTTTTTCTCTAGGCTGAGAGGGAAACACAAGGCAGGCTCTGACAACCAGAGCCCAGGGATTTCTGGAGAAGCATCACACAGGTCCTGGCTGACACTGTCTCTTCATTTTAGCAGGATGTGTGCAGATGTTGCAATGTTCCCACTCAGCATTTTCTCAATGAGCCAAAGCAGTGGCTTTGCCCTGAGCCATAGGTTTTCCACCCTCCATCTAGCAAAGAGAAACCCAGAAAAATCTCCTAGATGAGAGCTCATTGGGCCAGCTGAGATCCCCAGAGAACCTACTGATGCTAGATCCACACCTCCAGCACTCCCCACGCTGGGACACAGTCAGTCCTGGATTGCAGCTGCAGAGAGGAAAGCTGGAAGAGACACTGAAGCTTCAGTGAGGACTGCAGGCAACCTGGGGCAAAACTGCCTAGCAAAATGCAGCAATGCAGTGCACTTCTTTTAACACTGGGGTGGCATGAGGAGAAGTTCCACTTGGGGTGGGTGGTGTTGTCAGCAGCAGCAGATGCTGTAATGATCTGCTAAGCCTGTGACTGCCTGCTTCAGCACTCTGTCACCACCCTGTCTGTGCTGCTGGTGCATGGCACCCGTACCAAATCCTGAGGAGGAGAATTTCACAGTTGTGCGGAATATGGAGATTTTTAAGGCCACTGGATACTGAAGTGGTTATGGGAGTGGGCTGGTGCAGGACACGGCCTCTCCTATCAGCATCAGCCCATCACCCCTTCCCCAAGTGCCATCCTGGAGCCAGGTGATGCCAGAAGGTGTGACCCCTCAGTGCACTGCTGGGACGTGTCCAGGCACCCTGCACCCTTCCAGGCACTTGTGCAAGAGGCAGCAATAGTAGACCCGTGCTAAGGGCTGGCCCGGGGCAGTGCTGGCCTCTGCTCACCACTCCTCCTACCTGGGCCGAGGCCAAACTGCTGTGCTGGATCCAGCTTTGTGCTGGTGTTGGGATGCCCGAGGCTTGCAGCTGGGTGTGCTTCCCCAGGGGAGCTGCCCTTGTGTGCTGGATGGAGGAGCAGATGCTTGGGAAGCTAGGCAGGGCATGGGTGGGATACAGATGTTACAAGAGGGTGCCCTGAACTCCTGCAGGAGGGAATGCAAGGAACTTGGAAAATGTTGCTTAATTGCTGTCCTGGGTCATGCAGGTTGGAGGTTACCTTCATTTTTAAGGAGTGTATCTTCCACAAACACAACAATTTCCATTTAAAGGCACCCAAGTGACTGAAATTCCACCACTTCCCTTCTAAGCTCTCTCCCTTGTTATCAGCATTCCCAATGCACTGATGAACACAAGCTTCAGGTATGGGCCATGCCTGCAGACACATAGCAGGACAGTCCCCACTCCAAAGTTATTTCCCTGTTCTGTTCAGAGCTGGTGCCTTGTTAGATATTTTCCAAGACTTGGAGTACAAAAGGAAAATCTGGTAGAGCAGTGGAGCTCCTCTTCCTGCACACCGGTACTTCCAGCTTCTCCATGCTGTGATGTGTAGCACATCAAAGGCAAAGACCAACCACTGGCTGCACTTTAATTATTCACTTATTAGTTTTTTAGGTTCAGTAATTGCTACACGCAACCAGAAAATTATTTTCCAGCGTATTCCTGAACTCCATTCTCTCCTATTTTTCCTCTTCTTTGAGGATGTCACAGCACCAGCTGTAATCTGGCTTTGGATGGTGGGAAAAGCTCCCTGCTTTGCTGTGTTTGGCACTGGATTGCTCAGTTCATGCCCACCCTCTGCAGTCAGGGCAGTTTCTCTGCCCTGGGTTTGGACATGGTTGGGAAGCATCCCTGTGGGACAGCTTGAGACATGGATACCCCAGCCCAGAGGGCCTGCTGCTCCCTGTCCCACACTGCTGTCCTGGTGGGGCAGTGAACAGGTGCAAAAGAAGGAATAGGGTTTTTAGGAGAATATTAGGTAAGGGCTGGGGAGACTTGACTATAGGAGAGCTTTATCCTGACTGAGGATGGAGACAAGAGAATGGGACACTTTAATTTCTCTTCCAATCGTAATTCCCATGACTCTGCTTCCAGCACAAACACCAAACTTCTCCTTTAGGGACACTCTGAGGGGTAAGAATGGCAACACCATTGGACCTCACAATTTTCACAGCTCTCTGCCCAAATACATGTCAACTTTTTTCCCAGCACCCCAAACAGGGAAGAACTCCGCAACCATGGGCGATCTTGACCACTGGGAGTGGGATCACACATGACACCAGGCCACTGATGTGACCAGCATGGAGGCTGCCTGTGGGCATCCTGCCCGGCTCCCCCAGGATGCTCAGGCACCAGCAGGACCCTGGGAATGGGAGGGGGCTCAGGGAGGAGGCCAGAGTGGCTCAGGCCCCATCTCCATGGGGTCTGAGAATCCAGAACCTCCACCTGGAGAGCCAGTCCCTTCCCTGCCCTGTCTTCCCAAGGGATGATGCAAAGCAAGCCAGCCCCAGCACCGCCTGCTGCCGCTGTGGAAGTTACCTATGGCGAACTCGTCAAAGGTGAGCGTGGTGAAGTTTTTGCCCAGAGGATTCGTGACTGTCAGAGTCACCTTGTACTTCACTGTCGAGAAGAGCTGGAGGTATCTGATGTGACACCTGTTTTTGGGAACAGCATCCTTCTCACACACCATGTCTTTTGTGCCATGTCTGGAAAGCAGAGGTGAGAAGAGCTGTTACCTGTGGGTGCTGTTACCCAAGTTGCTGGAGGAAGGAGGCAGACTGTGCAGCTCTGCATGCCCACTAAGACAATGGTCCCCATGCACCAGCCCTTGCTGCGGCCAAAGGGCTGCTTTCCTCCCACCAGGGAATTGTGTGGGCTCCTGTGTATGAGGTTTTCTCCCAAGCCTACACAGAGGCTTCAGTGAACATCCTCATGCTGGCCCCAGGGAAAGAATGGGACCCTGCTGGGGTTAGGTTTGGCTCTGGTTCTCCCATGGGAGGAACAAGGTCTCCTGATGGTGACACAACCTCAGAAGATACTACATGGCATCAGCCTCTATAAGAGCTGTGCCAGAACTCTGGCTCAGGATAGGGAACGATGCAATGCCATGGCCATGCCATGGCCAGTTCCAGGTGAGAGACACTGCTGCTGCCCAACAACATCCAGCTTACACCAGGAAAGAGCACGGATGTGCCAAATGTGCCAAAAAACAGTGGGCATAACATCCACTACAGACAAGTGGTGCAGGGACAATGGTCTTGGGAAGCACAGAAAGGGGACCAGGGGGATGGGAACTTTCCTGGTCCCTTCTAAGGAAATTTAAACTTTCTTGGTACAAAGTCCTGGTTCCAAACATGCAGTTTATATGTCCTCAGAAAATCCTTCCCCATGCCCATTTCTGGGACACTGATGCCATATGCTCAACCCAGGTCAGACCCACTGCCCCAAGACTTCATGGCACTACCTGAGACCTGCTCGAGGCTGCAGGGACTGAAACTCACCCTGCTGCACCCTTTATTCCCAGACACTTACATGACAGAGATGTTGAAGGAGTTGGGGATGTAGGTGGGAGTGGGCAGGTGCCAGCTGCAATAGAAACCCTTCGGGTAGTTGTTGGACCGGCACATCAGCACTGGCTCCTTCGGGGGGGCTGCCAGGGAAAGAGAAAGGGTAATTAACCTAATTAACCTGCTGAGGTGGGCTTATCACCAAGTTCTGAGCAAAGGGACAACCCACCACTCCCAGCTGCTGCCAGACTGGGAGGGGAGAGTTTGCAAGGGGAGCCTGGCCTGTGTTTATCACATGCTGGAAGGATCTGGGGGTGTTTGTCCCATGTCTTCTGCTGAGGTCCTCCATGGCACCTTGCTTTGGGCTGGGCAGTACAAAGCTCACCTTCTCCTTGGGCAGCTCACTGCTTCTAATGAGGGGTGGAGTGATAGAGATGGTTTGCAGGTACCAGGGGAAATTGTCTTCAAGGCTGTGACACAGATGTTGCTGATGAGGAGGAGGTGCTGCTCTCTTGACCCCATTAATCTACACTGCTCACAGCTTTCTCTGCCACATCCCTGGGGAGTGATAAACTTATTGAGGGATGATCCTGCAAATGATCAGAGGTCACCAAAGGGAGGAAGAAGGACCATTGGCAAGATGAGGAGGAGCAATGCAAAACCAGTGGAGAAAATCCAGCTCTGCAAGAGGACTAACAGCGTTAACACTTTTGGCATGAGGAAGAGCATCCCTGACTCCGCTGCACTGCCTCCAAAGAAACACAGAGGCAACAGGAGACAGGATGAGAGCACCCAGTGGGAGCAGCCTTCCTCTGGTGTGGAAGCTTTGGGAGGCACCTCCTAAATCACACCCCATTGGCTCCTTCCTCTGCTCCTATGTCTGAACATAGGTGTTCCTGAGCCACTCCCCCCCATTTCCCTGACTGGCCTTGATCTTTGTACTGCCCTGAGACCAGGGTCAGCCCCCAGACCCCCGGAGAAGGTAAGGGGGACTCTCCATGTGTGTGGGCTGGGACCTGAACATCTCACCGCACGGCTGAATTAAACACCTGTGGATATAATACAAAGGCCATTTTTGCTTCTTTGCCTTGGGCTTTACTAGCAGCAATTTAGGCTGCAACCTTCTGGCCTCGTCAGCTGATCCTAGAGGTTGGAGGCACAAGGGGATTTTAAACCCAGTGAAGTGTTCACACTCTACTTGGCTTTCCTGGATGCATGGGCAGTGCACTCTGCTTTCTGCAGGAGCACAGCAAGGGCTGCAGGAAATCTCTGCAAAATGCTGAGGGAAGGTGCATGAGAAGAACGAGATTTGATACCTTTCGGCTGATAAATTTTGCCTTTGTTGGTAAAAACCTTACCTGATCTGACACCGAAGTCAACTCCTCTTGGTACCTAGGCACTTGCACTGATTGTTAAGAACAGCACCCAGGCACGGTGTCTTGCCATAAAATGCACTCTCTGGGCTGGATGCGCACCGGGATTCCCCTTGGAAAGGCTGTCTGATCCTGTGGTTCTCCCTCTTTCCCTTCCTTCGTTAGCCCTCATCCCCATCCATCTACTGGGAATATCCCAGGATGTGCTCTTCTCTCCCAGCCAGCTTTTTGAATCAAACCGAGCAGACCCGGCAGCCCCAGAGCCCCTCCAGCCCCGGGGCCCGGGTGTCACTGGCATGACACCCCAGGGGCACAGCTTTCTCGGGAATGAGCCCCAGCTGCGACTGGAATCTACAGCCTACTACGGTCTACAGCGGGGAAACTGAGGCACAGGCTTTGCGCACCCCCCAGCGCCCCTGGGGCAGGGCTTAGAGGGCAAGCAGCTGATAAGGGAGCCAAGAGCAGCAGAGTCAGGGAGCAGGGAGGAGAGGGAGAGGGAGAGGGAGCGGAGGGGGCCGTCGGGAGGGAGGGAGTAAGGGCGGGCTGTGCCTCTCCGCTCCGTGTTCCTCCTAATGGCCATTTCAGCCTTCAGCCGGCAGACGAAGGCCAGAGCCTGGTTAATGAGCCTCCGGGTTAAATTATTCAAGCAGACCCTCCACATCAAAACAGAATGGCTAATCGCAAAGCCAGAGACAAGGGCCTGATCCCTGCTCCAGCCCCATCCTCTTCCTCCTCCCCGCAGGCTCCTTAACCCCTTTCCTGCCTGCCCCGGGCAAGGGCAGCACTGCTGTTTGCGGGGTGCAATGGGGGGGTCGGGGGGTGTCCCGGAGGGGCTGAAGGGGTGCAGGGAGGTTGGGGACAGCCTCTGGGTGCCGGGTGACCGCGTGGTGGCACTGTGGGCTAACAGCACCTGCCCGGCGCCCGGCAAACCGGGATGGGCTGGCACTGCTGCTCGGGGATGCTGGGGATACCGGGGATGCCACCGTAGGCGACTCGTACACTTGCTGCTGGTGCTCAGCTGCTCCTCCCGTGACCGAGAGTCGCAGGGAAGCCGGGCTGAAGCAGGCGGGGCTTTTTCGAGCATTCCTGGAGTCCTGCAGGGTGCAGCGCTACCGGCACGGCCCAAGATGCTGCGCTGCTATGCGCCACAATTAGTCCACTTCAGGATAATTTATATCTGTTGTCTCCAGTATCACGCCGGATCTGGCTCTTGGTGATCTGTGCTAATTCCTCCGCTGAGGAGGCTGGGGCGGGCTCGCTCCTCCAGGTTCGTTTGGCTGGGAGGAGGAGGGAGGGCTGCGCATCCTCATCCCGCTTCGATCCCCACTCTGCAGCAGCCTTTGAAGGTGCCCCATTTCCACAGCATTGAGCGCCGTGAAAATCCTGCCCTCTGCTTCAAGGCTGGCCCCCAACAGCAACCCCAGCCTCTTGTGTCCAGCCTGCTCCACCTCTTACCCTCTGGTGTCTTTCAGCAAGCCAGAGGTGAAAGGAGAGCCGGGGAAGGGAGACGAAATGATCCTCGCATCTCTGCCCTCCTGATGCAGAGTTCAAGGACAGATGCAGCCGAAGGGAAGCTGCTGTATGGAGCCTGTCTCAGCCCAACCTTTGTCCTCTTTTTCTGGGCAGACACAAGCTGTCTCACATAGACACTCCTGCAACCTCCATCTCTGCAGAGAGCCATCAGCCCCAGAGCTGCAGGCATCCCCAGAGGGATTTGCCAGGCAGATACCCCCATTTCCACGCTGACAGGCAGAGGGTTCATGGCAGAGTGTGAGGCCCGTGCAGTGCGCCGCAGGGGCTGTGACCATGACACCACATGGGTGACCATGGCCACCACTGCCAGGCACCACAAAGGATGGAGCTGCAAGCCCCTTCCCAGCTGCCTTGCTGCATCAGGAGGGCTCTCTTTGCCCACCCAGCCTTGGTGTCTTCTCCAAGCTGGTGGCAGGTTCCTCATCCCGCTATGGGAGATGGTAGCCTGCAACCTTGTTCTCCTCTTTCCTCCTCTCCCAGGAAAGGCGCTCACTGGCACGGCTCATGCTGCCCATCAAAGGCTCTTAAAGACAGCAAATAAAATTGCAGGCTCCAATCGATCCAGCGTGCTGTAATGCTGTCTTTGGAGGTGGGCCAGCCCATCAGGCCAACAGAGAGAGCAAGAAAGGCAGTGGAGGAAAACAAAGCCATCAAGGGAGCAGCGTTAAAGGCTTTTTCTGCCCTGAGGTTTTAGGCAGTGCTGCTGGGTGTGGGGTGTCCTGCTCCAACCTTCTCCATCCTCCCCCAGATGATGTCCAGCTCTCAGCACCTGCCCCACACCACAAACAGCCTGAACAACAGGTTGAGCTACTTGGGCACTCCTCCCTGGGCTCCTGCACACAGCCTCCCTAATTCTGGCAAATATTTACATCCGTGTTGCTTCATGGAGCTGCTGAACTCTGTAAAAGCAGAGCTCTTTTCCTTTTGCCACAAACAGCGCCTGCCCTCTCTAATCTGTCTATTAACCTCTTGCATGGCAGGGAGCCACTTCTCCCATGTGCTGTGCTGATGTCCTCTCTGAAAACCCAGCATGTTTAATGCCTGGCTGTGGCAGCTTCCCAGAGGCTTGGGTTGCAACCAGCCTCGCTGCAAAAGCCCTGGGTGAGGTGAAGAAAGGCTCAGAGCTGAGCACATCCCATCTGGGCACATGACTCACAAACTATGAGATGCTCCTGCAAAATCTGGGTCTGCCACAGCAGTGAAAGCTGGTGCCAGGGTCACTGTCTGTGCAGATCCCTGAAAAATCCAGTGTCAGGGATAGAGCTGGCTTTCCCGCCACACAGTGCCCCATGCTTTGCATCCCTTTAACTCTGTCTCTACAGCTTTTTGGAAATAGCTGTCACTTGACCAGCTTCAGGACTTCTGCTCAGCTGGGGACAGCACCACGAGTGGTCCTGGGGAATGAAACAGCTCTGGATACACCAGCACAGAAACTGATTTTTGTTTCCCTCCTCATCTCTAAAGCCCAGTTGTCCTTGTACCCTCAGTCCCACTGTGCAGGGGAAAACTGTGACCAATCCATTTTAGAAACCACTAAAAATGATCTACAAGAGCTTTTCCTAGCTCTGCTAGGTCATGAGATAATGGACATTAAAATCATGACACTTTTATATATAGAAAAGTTATTTTAGGTCACTTTTAGAGGTTTCTGAAATGGATCAGTTATAATTTTCCTCTCCTGCTGAGGGCTGAATGCACTAAAGATGCCTTGCTCCACAGGTGGAAGGATACAAAAAATAGCACCAATAAAAGTTTTAAGAGGCCTCTCAAACACTTCTGTAGGAGGTATTTTTTCTGGTGCACTCGGGGCACATTCAGGCGCTGGGCTGATGGGGGATAATGAGCCCATAGTGTGCTTTTGGGGTCACCTGCATAACTCATCATCTCAGTCTGGGGCCAGCAAAAACTCCAGGGTCCATGGCAGCAGCATGTGCTTGAGCTAGAGGTACAGCTGTGACACAGCCTGCCTGCACATGGGCAGGAGCCCCGTGCTGCCCCACACGGGGGGACAGCCCCACAACCAGTGCTGTTCTGCTGCCAAACTCCTGCTGTTTGCACCCCATGTGCCACAGCAGGACCAGAGGGCACTGGTCCAGAGGGCACGTGGGTTGCAAACAGCAGGAGTTTGGCAGCAGGAGTTTGGCATCACCCAGTGACCTTTTTTTTCACACCAGTGGTGTGGTGTGAAATACAAAATACAGAGAAAAAGCCACCGAACTGACCAAGAGCAAAGCTGC